TATTTTATGTCTATTGAGATTCATGATTATGTAATCCATATATTTTCCTTTAATAACCTATTAATAATGTGATTAATTATATGGACTGATTTTCAAATATCAACCTTACATTTCTGGAATAAACTCATGTTGGGCATGTCACTTTATTTTTCCTTATTTATTGCCAAATTTGTTTTTTTGAATTTATTTATATAATTTAAATAATTTAATTTAGTAAATTTGGAGGGAACAAATGGTTTCTGTTACATGGATGAATTGCATAGTGGAGAAGTCTAGGCTTTCAGTGTACCCATTAACTGAATACTGTACATTGTACCCAACAAGCAATTTTTCATCTCGTACCCCATCCCATCCTCCTCCTTTTGAGTCTCCAGTGTTCATTACCTCACCGTGTATAACTGTGCATACACATTGTTTAGTTCCTGTTTATAAGTGAGAACATGTGATATTTGTTTTTTGTTCCTGGCTTACTTTACTTTGGATAAAGGCCTCCAGTTTCACCCAAGTTGCTGCAAAAGACATTATTTCATTCTTTTTATGGATAAGTAATATTCTGTGGTATATACGTATACCACAATTTCTTTATCCATTCATGCATTGATGGGCACTTAGGTTGATTTCATTTTTTTGTAATTGTGAATTGTGCTGCAATAAACATATGAGTGCAGGTGTCTTTTTGATATAATAACTTTCATTTCTTTGGGTAGATCCCCAATAGTGAGATTGCTGCATCAAACAACAGGCCTAAATTTAGTTCTTGGAGGAATCTCCATGCTATTTCCCAGAGAGGTTGTACTAATTTACATTCCCACCAACATTTATAAATATTCCCTTTTCACTGAATCCATGCCTATATCTATTATTTTTTTAAGTTTTTAATTATGGCCATACTGACAGGTGCAGGGTGGTATCTCATCATTGTTTTAATTTGCATTTTCCTGATGACTAGCGATATAGGACACTTTTTCAAATGTCTGTTGGAAATTTGTTTCTCTTCTGTTGAAAAATGTTGCTTTATGTCTTTCAGCCACTTGTTAAGGGGGCTATTTTTTTTCTTGCTGAATTGTTTGAGTTCTTTATAGATTCTAGATATTAGTCCTTTCTCAGATGTATAGCTTATGAATACTTTCTCTCATTCTGTAGATTGTCTACTATCTCTATTAATTATTTCTTTTGCGGTGTAGAAGCCATTTAGATTAATTAAGTCCCCTTTATTTATTTTTGTTTTTGTTATATTTGTTTTTGGGGTCTTAGTCATAAAATCTTTGCCTAGGCCAATATCAAGGATAGCTTTTTTTCCTAGATTTTCTTCTAATACTTTTACAGTTTCAGGTGTTATATATTTAAGTCTTGAATCCATCTTGTGTTAATTTTTGTATATGGAATCCAGTTTCATTCATCTGCATAAGGCTATCCAACTTTGCCAGCACCATTTATTTAATAAGGTGTCCTTTCCCTAGTGTATATTTTTGTCTGCTTTGTCAAAGATCAGTTGGTTGAAGGTGATTTTATTTCTGGGTTCTCTATTCTGTTTCATTGTTCTATGTATCTACTTTTATACCAGTACCATGCTGTTTGGGTTACTACAGACTTGTAGTATAATTTGAAGTCAGGTAATGTGATGCCTCCAGATTTGTTCTTTTCCCTTAAGATTTCATCGGCTATTCAGGTTCTTTTTTGGTTCCATATGAAGTTTAGGATTGTTTTCTCTAATTCTGTGAAAAATGACATTGATATTTTGATAAGAATTGCATTGAATCCATCAATTACTTTGGGTAGTATAGACATTTTATCAATATTCATTCTTCCTACCCATGAGCATGGGATATTTTTCCATTTTTTGATGTGATATACAATTTCTTTCTTCAGTATTTTTGTAGTTCTGCTGGTAGAGCTCTTTCACATTCTTGGTTAAGTATATTCCTGGGTATGTTTTCTTTGAAGTTATTATAAATGGAATTGATTTCTTGATTTGATTATCAGCTCAGTTGTTATCAGTGTATATAAATGCTACTGATTTGTGTGTGTTGATTTTGTAAAGTGAGACTTTACTGAATTCACATATTAATTCTGGGAGTCTTTTGGAGGGGTCTTTAGGATTTTCTAGTATAAGATCATATCATTGGCAAACAGAGATAATTTGACTTACTCTTTCCAATTTGGATACTATTTATTACTTTCTCTTGCCTTATTGTTCTGGCTAGGACTTCCAGTGTTATGTTGAATAGAAGTGGTGAAAGGGAACATCCTTGTCTTGTTATTTAGGGGAAATGTTTTCAACTTTCCTTCATTCGGTGTGAGGTTGGCTCTGGTTTGTTATGTATGATTTTTTTTATTCTGAGTTATGTTCCTTCTATACCTAGTTTGTTGATGTTTCTTATTATGAAGGTATGTTGGATATTTTTCAAATGCTTTTTCTGCATTGAGATGATTATAAGGATTTTGTTTTTAATTCTGTTGAGGAGGAAAATCACATGTATTGGTCTGTGAATGTTGAGCTGTCTTTGCATCCCTGGGATGAAACCTTCTTGATTATAGTGAATTATCTTTAAAAACCAATATTCCAAGCAAATTAATACCAAAAGTGAGCCACAGTATCTATTGTTATATCAGATAAAACAGACTTTAAATCAACAACAGTGAAAAAAGACAAAGAAGTTCATTATATAATGATAAAGGGATTGATTCAACCAGAAGACATAACAATCTTAAATATATATGGAGGTCCTGGATTCGTAAAACAAATACTACTAGAACTAAGGAAAGAAAGAAACAGCAATATATTAATTGTGGGAGATTTCAATACTCTACTGACAGAGATAGGTCATTATAGCAAAAAATTAACAAAGAAGCACTTTATTTAGACAAGACTCTAGAATGAATTAACCTAACAGACATTTAGAGAACATTCTACTCCTAAACTGCATAACATACATTCTTCTCATCAGCACATGAACATTTTCCAAGATAGGCCATATATTAGTCCACAAAACAAGTCTCAACAAATTTTTTAAAAATTTAAATTATATCAAGTATCTTCTAATACCACAGTGGAATAAAACTAGAAATCAATTCCAAAAGGAACTCTCAAAAATATACAAATACATGGAAATTAAAGTACCTGCTACTGAATAATCTTTAGGTCAACAATGATATTAAAATGGAAATTTAAAAAATCTTTTTAAAATGAATGATAACAGTGACACAGCTATCAAAATCTCTTATATATAGCAAAAGGAGTGCTAAGAGGGAAGTTTATAGCACTAAATGCTTACATCAAAAAGACAGAATGATCACAAATTAACTACCCAATGTTACACCTCATGGAACTACAAAAAAAAGAACCAATCAAACCAAAAGTTAGCAGAAGACAAACATATCAAAGAATAGAAAAGAATTAAACAAAACTGAAACAAATTAAAAAATACAAAGAATCAATAGAATGAAGAGTCGGTCTTCTAGACATTGGCCTAGGCAAAGAATTTATGAAGAAGACCCCAAAGACAATCACAGCAACAACCAAAATAAAGAAATGGGACCTGATCAAATTAAAAAGCTTCTGCACAGCCAAAGAAACTGTCACAATAGCAAACAGACAACCTACAGAATGGGAGAAAATTTTTGCATGCTACAAATCCAATAAAGGGCTGATAACCCGAATCTACTTAGAACTCGGGAAAATCAGCAAGAAAAAATCAAACGACCCTATCAAAAAGTCAGCAAAGGACATGAACAGAAATTTTTCAAAAGAAGACAGAATAATGGCCAAAAAACATATGAAAAAATGCTCGACATCTCTAATCATCAGGGAAATGCAAATTAAAACCACAATGAGATATCACTTATCTCCAGCGAGACTGGCCTTTATCAAAAATTCCCAAAACAATAAATGTTGGGGTGGATGCGGAGAGATAGGAACACTCATGCACTGTTGGTGGGACTGCAAACTAGTGCAACCTCTGTGGAAAGCAATATGGAGATACTTTAAAGAGATACAAGTAGAGCTTCCATTTGATCCAGCAATCTCATTACTGGGCATCTACCCCAAAGAACAAAAGTCGCTCTATGAAAAAGACACCTGCATCAGAATGTTTATAGCAGCACAATTCACAATTGCAAAGATGTGGAAACAACCCAAGCGTCCATCAATACATGAGTGGATTAATAAAATCTGGTATATGTATACCATGGAGTACTATTCAGCTTTAAGAAACAATGGTGATATAGCACCTCTTGTATACTCCTGGATAGAGCTGGAATGCATTCTACTAAGTGAGGTATCCCAAGAATGGAAAGACAAGCACCACATGTACTCACCATCAAATTGGTATTAACTGATCAACACATAAGTGCACAGATAAGAATAACATCTATTGATGTTGGGCAGGGGGGAGGGGGCATGGGGAAGGGGGGAGGAGGGAGGAGGGCACAGGTATATGCATACACAAAGAATGCAATGCACACCACCCGAAGAATGGACATGTTTGAAACTTGGACTTAGGGCGGGGGGCAAGGGCAACATACGTAACCTAAACATCTGTACCCCCATAATATGCTGAAATAAAAAAAAAACGTATAAAATTATGCACAGGGAAAACGCTTGTGGAAAATAAAGAAGAAAAAAGAAGGAAAAGAAAAGAAGGAAACAACAAATGTTAGAAGGCAAGGGAAAGGTACTACCAGGGAAAGAGGCTAAGTGGGAAACAAAATGACAAGATACTTGGACAGATAGAGTGGAAATGAACAAGACTTATGGAGAGAATTGAGGGACTGATAAATGTAAACAAAAAGATAAAGGAGAGAGAAAATCACAATATGACAATGTATGGGAGCATCTGAGTTCACAAATGGTCCCGCCTCCTCCGACTCATCCAAAAAACCTGATTCCTCAGCCAAAGCTTCCCACTTCACCCTGAGCACTCTGAATCCTTCCCTCTACCCTTTTGCTGCATCAGAGGCTCCAAGGGAGACCACACCAACCCCCAGGTTCCCAGGGAGCTCTAGCACTCCCACCAGGCAAGGCCTTTAGCCCTGTTTGAAGATGACCAATGTTCATCCTTGTCAAAATGGACAACTCCTGGATCTCCAGAATTTGGGAAAAAGGCATGGCCTAAGACTCCATTTGGCCCGTCAAAGGGCCAACCATCTCCATGGGCTGTGGATGAAGGAAGCTGTGATCACAATGAGGAAAAGGGGGAAAACAGGGCCAAAATTGTCTTAAATAAGCCTCAGGGACTTAGGATACTGTGCAAGGGGCTGCTGTTGGGTGTGTGAGAGGGACAAGGCATTATACATTTAAAGGAATAGGGTGCAGCCAAAAATCTAGATACTCCTTATCTTCTGGAGTGAAATAAAATGAGGACAGATGGCAGACACTGAGTAAAGTTTACACATTAGACACAAAAACCTCTCCCAAAATGGTGGGAGAAAAGGAAAAGAAAACATAAACTCTGCAAATTTTTATAAATAGATTGGATCAACTTTGAATAGCATTTCAACAGATTTGGGAGCTCTGTAATGCCCTTTTAAAAGGAAAATGTGCAATCTTCCTACCTATTTACACTGCAATGAACACCCCTCCTCTACCTATTGCTTCACTGTACCAAAAATGTCTTCCCTGTGTTATAGACTTTGCTTTCATTAAGATTTTGTCTGATTTTTTTTTTCTCAGAAGCTGAACTAGGTGGGCTGAGGTGTGTTTATGCACTGGGACCCTTTGTCCTCTATACAAGGCAAGACATCCCCTCTCCCACGTCAATTTCTTACCCCATTTCCAGAAAGAAATTTTGATGTCTACATCTTTACTCTGTACCTGCTGGAAGGTCAGGGGAGTCACGTTGCTCCAGATGGAAACTGCATTATATATAATGTCTCTCACTGTGAATGGCTTCATAGCATCTGGGTAATTGATGATCCTGAGATAAGAAATTTCTAAATGAAATCGTTCAGAGATATGGGAATTATTTTAGCTCTAAAAATGAATAACTCTGCTTTAGGGAAAATCACTTAATATGCTTAGCTCATTTTGCTCCTCTATCAAATTGAGCTAATCCCAGATGAACTGAATCAGAAACTTAAGGAATTAAACATGCAAATATAGATTTCTAAAAATTGTAACAAATACCCCACATTATTCTCAAGTAAAGTCTGGGAACCATACCCCTGCATGGTAAATGGGGAAAAAAAAGCAATCAATCAATCAATCAATGTGAACTAAATTGAAATGTGTAGCATTCTACATAATTTAGTATTGTTTTGCTTTAGATGTCTCCAATATATTTCAAGTCTCCAATATGAAGATTGACCTAGGCAGGGAGTAAGTTTTCAAAATTATATCCTAAAAACGCCTACACACCTACACAATAAAAAGAAGAAAGAAAAGATTTGACTAAGGGAAGAATTGGGTTTGTCGCCAAAAGATAGTGGTTAGGCTCTATTTTCTGAAGTTGTGGTTGGAAGAAGCTAGAATGAGATGGCAGAATTGCCTTCTCTGAAGGAGATTTTGGGCTTTGGAGAAACTTCAGGGAAAGCAGAAGACTACTGCAGATTTGCCTCTAGGAAAGGTCTTGTGGAAAGTCCTTTGAAATAAATCACCCCACACTTCATCCAGGCCTTAATAATAAGTACCTGTAGGTCAGAGTGTACTTATACCATTTGGACCCTCCTGAGGAGATGGAGGAGTTACCCCCAGCAGGTACCCCATCGCGGGGCTGCTGTAGCATAGTATACATCTGCTTATCTAGTAGGCCTGTCCCATTTGGTTGGAACTATTGCAGGAACTGTGTCTGTTTCTCTTGGGTAAGGCATGGCGACTCCTTCTTGGTCAGGAAGAATTGTTGGAAATAGTCCTGGGTGAAAGTTTAGGAAGGATGAGTACTTAGAGACAATAGGGCAGACCCACAGCATGAGTTACCCAGAGCACAGCCTTCTCTGAGAGTCTCAGATGATGTTGCTTTGTCTATCTGTCCTTGTTAAAGCTTCTGTTCACAGTCCAATAATGGAAACCATCCCTGATTTTCTGTGTCACTGGTGAGATGATATTAAGTCCAGGTAACAGAATAAAAGTGATGTAGATAAGCTGTAAAATTTTTTCTAAAAATAAAGCATCCAAGTTTCAGGATAGAGAATCCCCAGTATAAAGGCCCTGAAGGTATTCCCTGGGAATTGCTCAGGAAAGATGGCCTCTGGTCTTTCTGACTGACTGAGGGTTTCTCAGTCAGGACAAAATCAGTGACTTAGGAGGACTTATAGTTTGTCCGATTTTTGTGTTACCCAATCCATTTGCATCTATACCTTCCATTCCATTAAAATACTTTTAAGAGTCCATCCTGTACCTATTCTTTATCTCCACTGATTTTTTTTTGCCCGTCCAGTGTGCCAAATCTCAACTTCTGTAAAAAAAATAGCACCTTGCATAATAATCAGTTTTTCTCTATCTATATTTGAACCCTACCTATACTCAAAGTACTTTAAGGGCAAAGCTGATGTCATATGCAACTTGATGTAAACCCCTTGGTTAATTTTTGCATATTGTATAAGACTACATTTGCCTTTATTTTATTATCAGCTAAACTGGTCTCTCAGAAGCAAATAACTTACTTTATTTTTCCGGGCTAAGTATTAGCATGAAGTTGGTCTAGGTCCCTGAGGAATTACAAAATATATGACTGAAACCAGTTATAAGGATTTTTAAGTATTTTTGATACTCAAAAGGTTTGGAGCAAATCCATAGTTTCTTGAGGAGTTGCCATGTGTTTTAAACAGATTGGGAGATTTCTCCATCAATATGAAGGGCATATTAGTTCATTTGAATTACTTCCCCTGATCTCTTACCAGCTAACAGGCTCAGAGATACATATACTGGAGTATTCACCATATGTCATATGGAAGACTAAGAGTTTGGGAGATGAGCAAAGGGTCTGAATTATTCATTAGGCATAAAAGGCATAGTCCCTAGAGCCCAAAATACTTTTAGGGGCCATGAAAATCCTTTAATTTTTTTTAAATTGAAGAAAAAAAATGAACTCATAGATTGAAGAAAATGTTTTCATATGTAACGCTAATATATTTAGTTATGTCGTGCATTCATATACACACACACACACACATACACACAAACACACACGGAAGAAGAGCCCACAAAAGTCGCAATGTAATAATGCAGGCGTGATCAGTGTACCTACCTTGACAAAATCCCATCCTTCAAGGTCTGTAGCAGGGAGCACTGGAAGGGTCAGACAACAGGGCAGGAAGATAGTGACTGCCAAGGTGGCAGGCTACATGGCAAATGCTCATTTCTCCTACTGCCTGAATTCATGCAGCCCACACGGGACACCAGGCCTTTATAGCTGTGCCAGCAGCGTCCAGTGACTCATGTCACTAGTTTGCCCTTTCTTTGCATCAGTGAGTGCTGTCATTGCCCATACCTGGTGAGGGCAGAGTGACCAGCAGGTCTTGACAATGACGGCAGCCATGGGATTTATTTTTATGCTCATTTCACACCTGAAGGCACTCAGAATCCCAGACTATAAACTTAGTTGAGGAAATACAGGTAAGTTTCAGGATATAAGGGACATCATTGTTTAAAAATGGGGAAAGGAAACAAGAAGTAGGAAGTATACGAACAATTCATTACAACTGTATCTATAGAATAATCCCTTTACTGATCAGAGACAAATGCGATCTTGCTCCAGAAGCTAAAGAGAAGAGAAAGGGTGAAATTGAAGAAGGAAATAGTGTCCACTGTAATGAAGACCCAGATCAGCACGTGAAAAATCTCAAGACCCACACAGAAGAGATTTAGGAACACACAGAAAAAGGTAGTTAATAGTTATATGTTGTAGAAAATAAATCATTGATAAAAAATTGACATATATAATATTCACAGGAAAAGGTTTCATTTCATAGCTTTAGAAATCACATAAATCTGGGAATGGATCTTAATTCCACTACTTAAAAGCTGTTCTGCTTTAAGCAAGTTATTGAATAACACAGTGTCTGTCTCCTTCTCTGCAAATTAGGGAAACTAATGCTATTCACATAATATGGTAGTAGAGGAGATTGAACTGGTCCTGGCACACAGGAAGTCACAATTAGTAGGAGCTGCTTTGTAATTGTTATTGCATTCACACAGACCCAGAAATGAAACAGAGACAAAGACTTGGAGATAATAAGAAAAAGTGAATCAAACACCAGTCTTTATGGCGCACCTTCCAGGTGCCCAGACCTGAAATGGCCTCTCCCATAAAGAGGACACAGAGGGAATAGATGGGGTTCCATTTCTTACCCTCCAGGAGCCCGTCCTCCAGCAACCACAGGGACACCTGCTACACGAGTCCTCAGAGGACATGGTTAGTCACGGCACTGTGCTTCCCTCCCTCTTATCAATGCCAGCTCCTCTGAAGAAGCCAATCGGGAAGCAGTGACTGTGTAAAGAGTGGAAATCCCATGGCTAATTCTAGGCAGGATGTTCATTACTTTTGACTCACCCCAAAACTTCTAGATTCCCAACTGCATGTCAACTGATCAATTACTGGATTGACCTTAATAATTTTTTCTCCCTCTTCCAGAGGCCCCTATTCCTTAAGCGTGATAACACTGGGCCTTGTTGTCTCTGCAAACAGTCTCAATAAATCAAATTGGTTTGCCTTCTACTATGTCTTGAAAACCCACATGGCTCTTCCGTGGTAATGCAACTTCCGTCAGTGCCTCCTATGGAGAATCACGGCCCTCTCTTCCATGTCCCCAGGCCTGTGCTCCTCAGGCCTGTGCAACATCTCACTGAGGCTTCCTTGCTGCAGCAATATTTGGCATTGGGGAGTGGTGAAAGAGAGGAAGTGGGGACTGTCCCAGCTGTGATCTTGGCATAAGACCAGGTTCACAATTTTATTTTATCTTCCTGACAAGTAGAGACAGAAGCCAGAGTTCTGGCCATGGACCTACAGTGAAAATGGAAAAATAAGCAGCAGGTATTAAGGATGGAAACTAAAGATCATGAGGGAATTTGTAAAAAAAAAAATACAGTTATTAGAGGCCTATTATGAAATAATTATGTTGTATTATGCCTTTGGTAAAGATTAAAATACAGTATTAACAATTTTATAGGTTAAAAATGAGACTCAAAGAGGACACAAAACATATCAAAATCACACAATCAATGAAGAGAGAAAATTAGCTTCAAATCTAATACCCAAATATTCCATTAATAGCAGTAAATAACATGATACATATGTATAGGTAGGTCATCAGATAGATGGCAGACAGACATAGAGAGAGAGAGAGAAAGAGAGAGAGAGAGAGATGACTACGCTCAGCAGCACCAGGGAGCAAATTACTGAACCACATGTTGAATGAAAGATGTGAGATGTGAGACAGCAAACCACCAAACTGTGGTACTACTATACGATTGCATTTACGTGAATCTCAAGAACAGGTTAAACTGATTTACAGAAAGGAACCAGCATCGTGGTTGCCTCTGTCGTGGAGGGGATTGTTCGTAAAGGAGCACAACGGAAATTGCTCAGGGGATGACATCGTCTATTTCTGACCGGAGTCTGGGTAATACAGACATATTCGCTTTTCAAAACTCGCTAAACCATACACTGAAGGCCTGTGCATTTTACCATTATACTTCTATAAAAATAAATAAAATTTAAATGGATAAAGAAAAAAAATATGGATCAATAAGGTACCAAAAACTATACCCATTTCTCCATGAGGAACATAGGATTATAATATAAACGGTAATGTGTGTGGCCAGAGGAGTAGACAGACAATAGTGTTCTTGATGTTATTGTGAGTGCTATGAACAATTTTATGTTCTAAAAGAAGAAAGTTACATGCTAAAGATATGGGTAAATAATGGAATATCTACCAGAAGAGTTGTTAAGACTAGAGGTACTTGTGAGATACTTGGGGATAAAAAGAATACCCTAAATCTGAAAAAGCCAAGGTGGATTTAAGAGGAAACAGAGATATTTATTGTTAGACAGGTATGGGATAGAGACAGTTTATTCCTGATAGCCTCCATCAACTTTGTAAGATATGAGTTTGTTCAGTGAAACGTCACAGTGATATAGGCCTTATCAGATTCTCAATTCAAAGCTTAATAAACTGAGGCAAATGAAATACACAAACCTTTCCATGGAAATGGTAAAAATATTAATATCTGTGTCTGTGTCTGGCTAAGCCAGACTATTTATTCAACAAGGCATGATGCTTGTCTTTACTGGAAGACCTTCATCATTGATACCATCAACTTACCATTGATGTTCCTGTAGCCTGAATGAATTCAAAAATCTAGGCTCAGTGGAGTCACAATGAAAGAAACAATGTTGAAAGTTACTCAAAATCCATAGCAGCACTGAAAGAAGAGAAAAGAAAAAAACTACTTCCTGCATCTCTTTCATCTTCTCAGGTGCTCTGAACAACTCACTTTCTAAACCCCTCACTATCATCAGGGATCCTTGAAGTGCTCCTGCATCCTCTCCTGCTAAGTTCTCTTTACTCTGTCCCTGGAGTCCACATTACCCTCTTGTGCTTCACTTGGAGCTCAGCTTCCTCCAGCTAGTCTAGACTTCTTCAAGATGGTTAGAAATCTCCCAATCAGAGATCAGCACAGAGTGTAGCTCTTTAATAACTCTGACCTGTTCTTGAAATTCTGGTGCAGAATTGGTATTAAATGAAACTCACCCAAAATTTCAAAATATCCTGTTGTGCACAATAAAATATATAAAAATTATATTTTTCAATTAAAAATAAATTTAAAAAATAAAGAGCCCTTCTATGTTTACAGGCCCGTACACTACACTGTAGATTCATTAATGATAGAGTTCTTCAATTTACATTAATATGTGTAGTTCAGTCTTTGGAACCTAGAAGGGACTCATTATTCATTAGATGAATATAAGTGTTCAGTAAAAGAATCTCATAGAATCTAGTGAGACTGGAAGTGAATTTTTTATGACTATTTATTTTGCTATTTGTAAACGTGAACATATAATTCAGAAAAATCTCTTTACACAGGTCAGGTTATCTTTATAATAGTTTATTGAGCACATATTGTGTCAGGAGTGCACTATCTTTCTTCATCAACACAACCAACTGTGAAGTAGGTGTTTTATCATACTCATCTTGTAGTTAGGGAAATAAAGTTTTGACGTCATTCGGCTTTCATTTGGACAGTCACAATGCTCAAGGCAATACACAGAAGTTATGAACAAAGAGTGCTTTACTGTGAAGTCAGATCCTTCAATCGCTGGACTGGACCAGCACTTTTCATGAAACTGCTCCATCTCTCCAGGTGCCACATACCCCTTTGACGCTGCTTCTGGAACTTCCAGGGTGCGCCATGCATTCTGAGAGGGTAGACTCAGGTGAGCAGTCACCTGTGAGTCTGACCCAGCATTCAAATAAATGAATGCTGAGTGCTGAGAGCGGTCTTAACTAAGAAAGCAAATGATAGACTTATTAATGATTCAGCTGCAGAGAAGGGGAAGTATGTGTTTGAAGTATGACAGTGTTTTCAAAACGTAATATGCCTATGAATCACCTGGGAATATGGATAAAAATACAGTTTCTGTTCCATAGTTCTTGGATGGGCCTAATATTCTGAATTCCCAACAAGCTTCTAAGTGGTGCCAATGCCGCTGGTCTAAACATCATACTCTTTGAGTCGTCATGAGATGGAGGGTGTTGGGAATGTAGGGAATGTAGGAGCTATAAATTTAACCAGAATGTTTTAAGAAGGGATGCCAGCTTTTATATTTTATTTTAAAATTCAAAACTATGAGAAACAGGAACCCAAACTTTTCTAGTAATAACATCCAGTTAGCTAAATAATATGTTTATGTTGTTATTTCTTGATTTGCAGTTTTAGACAATATCTATTTACTTATAATAAATAAGAATTCACCTGAACTGAAACCCCTTTTTTCTATCTTATCCTTCTTAATATGTTTATATCATTATTTTAGTTTCTCCATTGACTATGCTAAACATTTAAACAATATAGTTATAATTATACTTCTCATTAAAACAAATGTAAGCAATACCTCTTGATTTTTCACTTAGTAAAATGAGGATATTTGTGTCTACAAACATTTCCTTCAACTGACTATATTTTAAAATTGTTTATTTTTTTTGTCATTACAGATAAACCTCTCAAACTTTTTCTTTAAAACTTGAAAATCAACAAACAATATTTATAATTCTGTTACTATGGGGATATAAATAGTACAAAATAATTGTATGTGTATTTTCTTCGTACAATTTGTAGTATTTTCTTTCTTCTTTTTTTTTTTTTTTTTAGTTTACTTTTACCTTTGCATTATCTTGCCTTAGTGACCTCCTTATATTGTTTTGTAATCTTTTGCCTTCTATGGTTTCTTTTATGTTTTCCATCCCTAGATTTTGCTCTTTGCTTACAAAAATTTTGTCAAGTGTTCAATATACATATTGCATCAAAGACCTTCATGCGTACTGTTACCCCAAAGAAGGAATACATGGGTCACAGGAGATGTTGTGCCTTCTGTCCTAACAACTGTGGACTCTGCAGAATTAAATTCACTGGTCCCCAAAGGAGGTACACTTTTTCACAGGGAAATTGCAGCTATCATCTGGCAATTTTGGTGTCCTTGTACTGAGAAACCAAAAGGCAAATGCAAGAAGGGGATGTACCATATTATCAGGGGTAATTGACCCTTATCCCCAGGCAAAGGAAAAGCTCCTGTTTCACAAGCAGAAAAGCCAGGTCATGGAATTATATCAGAGGTTCATTCTAATGGCAGTAGTCAGTTCAGAGCCCTCGCCTGTATTGACAAAAGTTTTATTGGAGCTATATTGCAATTTTACCTTTCCTTCTAACAAATTCTGCTTCCTCCTCTTTTCTTTCACAAGTATTGAACCTCTAATACATTAGGTTGTTTTATGACAGAGGGTGGGAGAATTAACATAGCACTGAAGCAAAATTCTAAAGATGAATTACTCTTTATTCCATAGTAATGTGAATTGTTTCTATTTTTATTTCATTTTTTTTTTGTTATTGGGATAGAATAAAAGTATTTAACAAATAAATACCTTCAAATCATGTACTTAGGGCTAATTAACATAAGGCACCATCTGTCCAGTGTTTGCTGCTACTACTTTGTTGAGCTTCAAGCAATCTATAATCATTCTCCAAGGCCTGACTAAAGTTTGCAGAGATGATGAAGGTGAATTAAAAGGAGATATGGTAGGGACAGTGATGTTAATTTCCATCAATGACTTTGAGGTGTGGTATTGTTTTAGAATCGATTTATTAGCCCCAGGAATCTGGAGACAGTTTCCTAGACTTCCACTTGGCCTTCCTCATTGTAAAAGCTCTTATTCTTTAAATCAAAGACATAACTGTAGGGGTTGAGGTATTACCAAACACATCAGTCCCAACTATACATTCCAGATATCCATCTCAGTTAAGATCCCATATGCAACAGTCCTAAAAATGTCAGGATATTCATTTTTCACCAATGTGCAGTTACTCAAGCAAATGATCATCAGTCCCTTTGGGGAAGGATAGATAAATTAGTACTATGGAACTGTGTATAAGTACCACGGTGTTAAAAGAACCTTCTACCTGGAAATCTGTTCACTTGTTCAATCATTTGGTTTGGAGTCTGAAACCAACTCAGGCATGGAAACTGGGCAAAGGCTTGTGAATTCTTAGTGGTCAACTGCTCTCAGCTTCATGGTTACCCATCTTTTATTTATTTTGTGGATTCAAGCTAAGAAGCATCATTTTAATTACCAATTATTTTGTCCCTTTGGATGATATAAAATATTAACTATTTCCATAAAATGTTAACTATTTTCACAAGATGTGGCTCAGTCCTCCTTTCTGCTATTCCAATCTTTTCATTTATTCTGATTGTGAAATCCTCTGATCTCTATAGTTTCAAGGTTCTATCTTCCACATTGCCGTTCATGAGGAATTAATGGATCAGCCAGCCTTTCCTTACAGCAACTCTGGTTTACAGAAGAAAATCACCATTGAACTTCTCAGCTAATCTGGTGCTTCTCTCACCAGCAAATTCCTTAGGTTTAGGAAGTAGTGTGTCCTCCAGGTGTCTCCAAACACATAATTACCTGGCAGATATTCTGGCTGTACCTAGTCTATTCATTCCAGCACACTCACTCCATGAACCTTTTAATTTATTTTTTTAATTGCTTAACTGCTTTATTTTATTGATTTATTTATTTATTTTATTTCAGAATATTACATGGTATAAATGTTTTGATTACATATATTGCCTTTGCACCGCCCGACTCAGACATACAACCATGCCCAACCCCCAGACTTTGTGCACCGTATTTATTTCTCCTCCTCTCCCCTCCCACCTGCTTGATGCCCTATGAATGTTACTTTCATATGTATACATAAGTATTCATCAATTAGTACCAATTTAATAGTGAGTATTCTTACACTGCTGATGGGACTGCAAACTAATGCAACCTCTATGGAAATTAATATGGAAAAACCTCAAAGAACATTTTAATTTCTTCCTCTATCATCTGCCATTATTATATCTCTTTTTTTTTATTCAGTATGAGCCATCGCTGTTTATATGCTTCTGGAAACAGTTTAGTAAAATATTTATCCATGTCCTCAGATCTTAGCTGGATATAAAGCACTATATTACAAGTATATTGCAAGTAATATACTCTTTTCTACTGGGTTTTGTTTTCCAGTCCCTTGAACTGAGCATGCTCAGCGTCTAGTATCATGCTTACTTTGATGTATCTTGCTCGTGGATGTTAGCTTGTTCTCGCAGTTCCATTTGGGTATAGTCCCTTTTTTCTCTAATCGGACTCCATACCTCACCTTCTGGTTATGCGGCAAATTATCCCCAGTTTTAGACCATGTGGCAGAAAAGTAGGTGAGGGGTAGTCCTAAGAGGGACACATCTTGCCTTGAAGTACTGAGATCTCTGCATTAATTCCCAGAACAGGGGAATAGTGTAGATTCTACTTCTCAGTAAGGAAGAATAGGCTACTTCTGCATAATCGGAAGTTTCAGAAGAGTCTGGGGAAGTCAGAATTCTTGTGTCTATCCATCAAGATTTCTCTGCCCATGTATTATGGCCCTAGGTTTTCTCTATTAAGACTTTGATCTTGGCATAATCTGTCTTGGCTGGACGTTTAACTATGTCTAAAGTTCATTCCCGACAAGTCAGTTCTGATATTGATCGCTTCCTTTCTCTGCTCTCTGCTGGAGGAGGTGAGAGCTTAGTTTGTAACTAAGAGGACTCTGGCTTTGACACCTGGCTTATAATTGCCCAAGACTCATTTCCAATTGTCAATTATGTCTCCACAGAGCATCACTGACACTGACACAGAATCCCATACAACCTGGAATCCAACCAAGGAATACACGTTTCAGTAAAGAAAGTCAAGTAGGTGGGACCCTAACAATATGATTCTCTTGTTCTTTCTCAGACTGCACTACCAAGATGTTGCTGGTCTGACAGAGTTATGGAATGTCCTGTTAAAGCCGAAGTATCAGCTCAGTGATGATACCTGAGAGATGTGGCAATATCCTACAGGACACAGTATAAACCTAAATCAATATCCCTTGAGTTATTCGTCTTCAACAGGGAGAAAACATGAATATGGTGGTGAATATAGTGTTGTCATTGCTAAACATGACTTCTAGTTACTCACGCAAACAATCTTTGTTTTTATTCAGACTATGCTGGGTGCTGTTGGTTTAGAGGTCTCGGTTCCAAAGGTAAAAACATTATACAAAATGACATATAGTTCACAAAACTTTCAACTAGAGATGCCACCATGTCATTTTAAGATACCAGCAAGCAATGAAAAGTAATGAATTAACTCTAATAATCAAAAGAAGTTAGAAGTGCTGCTAGTCAATGTGGCCAAGTGAGAATGTGCTTGCCATTAGGAGATCCTTGGGCATCTCTCGACACTTCTTGACCTGTTTTGATAGTACACAAACAAATGCAAAAGCCACAGCCTGAGAAGTTTATGATGCCCAAAGATGAAATACTAGCTAAGAAGGAAAGAAATTTAAAATGGGTAGTAGAGGAGAGAGCTAATATATATTAGCAATAGTTAGAGGCTCAGGACAGCTGCAGTATAGTTAAATAATCCCAGTAACCAACTGCTTGTCACTTTCCAATGGATAAAAAAAGGCCAATATGAATTCTGAAAAAGCTTCTTCCAGACTTGGTTACTGACGTATTTGGATCCAAGCATGCAGTGATTGAATTGTAGTTCACGTTGTGATGCATCACCCAGATCTCCTTGTCCTGTCAGGCCTAAAGCACCTGTTCCTCTAGTGAGAGCGTTATAGCTGA